CCGAAAACCAGAAAAATCTGGGTTTATAAAATCTGAACTTCGAAATATTTACGGTTATGCCACTGAACTTCTTTTGATCGTAACTCCTTCGTTACAATTCCGATTTGAGTCCACTACATGTCTACGAACTCGTTTCGTCGCGCTCTACGTAACGGTACAACTAAAATCCCCAAATTCCTTCCCGGTCAAAAAGTCAACTTTTAAACTAATAAAATATTATAGGGGTATTTTTGTCTTTTTCTCAAATAAATTAATAATTACATATTAATTTTGGGTTTGGGTTATTACAGTCCGGGTAGGGACCCGGAAAGTCCAAGCGGGTTATGATAGTGGGTGAGCTAATGAGGATCTAAATGGGGATTTCTTACGCTATGGACTCTAGAGTCAGGAGAGCTCTGCTTAGGATTTCTGCTGCTCAGGTGAGCTCAATTTCTGTGCTTTCTTATTTGTGATCTTGGTTGATCTGGTTTGATGGGTTTGATTTTATTTGGTGGGTAATGCTTGATTTTTATCATAGTGATAATTGTGATGATGGGATGGATATGGAGCTTAATTTTGCTACTGGTTTGGCCAATTTTGGATTTTGGTTTTTCTTACTTTAAAACAAAAATTGTTTCTTCACTAAGTGTAGTTCAATATGATAAAACTGACATAATGTTTCACGAATGTTTATTTTCATAATGGGTAATTTCAAACTTTTGTAATTTCATAATGGGTAATTTCATAATGCAAAATGTTTCACGAATGTTTAATATCAACATATTAATTTGAGTGATTATGCCACAATTTAATGATTTTAGGCTCTCCTATTGTGTGTATTTAACTGGTTCATATGATGCTGTTTCTTCAGGCCTTCATTCAAAACTTGGCATTGTTTCTCACTTCATTTTACAAGGCAAGTTTGTTAGCTTTCAGATAAATATGTCGATATATTGCCTTGCCTTCGCCAGCCGTATTTGGATATGATAGTTTTGTTGTTTGGTTTATGTTGTAACAGAATCTTTAAGCTTTATCTATTGTGTTGTCTATAATTATGGTTTACTTATCCATAAAAGAGTTTGCAATTATGATTAATCTTTAAGCCTCCAATGAGGATGTTATTAGCTGTCTCCTTTTCTTTTTGCAGTCACATATTCGTGTGCTTGAAACCACACAACAGAATATAGCCGCATTGCTGATGGGTCTTGAATATCTAATAAACATCTCATATATGGATGACACTGAAGTTTTTAAGGTATAATTAATTATGATGTGCTCTCTAGCACCCACCCGAAGGCCCTATTTAGCTCTTTCTCTCTCTCTTCCCATTTGAACAATGAAGTGATAATTTGACTTGGAATTGGTTGTTTCTTCGAGCAAGATTGCTTAGAATATTAGAATTCCTTGGTTTTGGAACTGTTTGAGTTGCATCATAATTTGGATAACCCTGCAGCAGCTGCAAATATGATGGGGCTGCCGGTAATTTAGATACTTTTATCTTTGAAATTTTTGTTGTTTTGAGTTTTCTGTTTTCTACTTTGTATGAAT